TCTGGATATGGTTGAACACTCTGGATAAGGAAGACTCTAATTGCAATAGACAAAAGAAGATTTCTTATGTAAAATGTTTTTAAAGAAATGAAGGATATTGTTTCAGAGGGAAATAAAGAATTTTAAGGGATAGTATGACATCAACTGGATTATTTGGAGCTGCAGAAATTTGCACACAACAAATTAAAAAGGAGAATAACCCCAAGGGAAAGGGGTTTGCTATTAGAGCCAATAAAGGCAGATAAAAGCAACCTCATAAAAAAGATCATAAATGGAAGGGATGGGGGAAATTATGAGTATCTGGAGTAGATTAGTCTCAGCTGTTTTAAGATTGAAGGATGGTGTGTAGGACATAATTAGATATAGTGTAGTTTGCCAGGACTCATGAGATTTCAGGCCAATTCAGATAACATAAGGGTTTATTGTGGATGCTTAATCTACCATTACTGCTATAAGGATTTCTCATTTTTAGCCATAGAATTGAAACTGGTTTAACTTCTTTTGTAACTTGCACATCAGCAAATCTGGACTATAGTCAGTAGCATTGGTTGAACCTAGGTGCCTAGCATAATTTGAAGAGTCTTGATACTTTATTGAACAGCTGTGAGGTTTTACATATTGCTAATAAGACAGGAGATAACAGCAATGCGGAGAGGATTACTCTTGCTTCCTGTTTACAGACAGTTTTACCATGCTGTTTCAGCAGAGCTTGTGAAACAGCTATTTTCTATTGCTGGTTAAAAACAAGGAAAACTTGAAAGCCTATGTGAACAGAATCAGTCTCAGTTCTGTACTTTCTGACAACGCTGGCAATGCATTTTAACAAACTGACAACTGTGACTCGTTAGAATGGCTGCTTTTGATTTTACATTACAATGAAGGAACTACAGTTACAAGCAGCAAAATTGATAGCTCTGCCCTTTCAAAATATGTACTGTAAACCTCTCATAAACCACCTCTGGGTTTATACAATTTAGTAAACACACAGGTCTTTCCCATATTTTATTTATCAAATTTAGAAATCGCACATCTCCCTCACAGAGATGGTATACAAATAAACATAACATCTATATGCAAATATTCTGGTAAAAATAGTTAAAAATAATAAAATAAAAAGGCAAGGAGGAGCTTGATGCTGTTAATATGGCTCTGCACTACATCCTACAACATCTTGAATCTCCAAAGACCTACATAAGGGTCCTCTTTGTAGACTTTAGTTCAGCATNGAACCCAGAAGGACATTTCTTTCATCACATGGACAGCAATATCATGGAGTTAATCTCCCAAAACAGCCTTCTTGATATCTTTCCAATAAATGGCACTGGACACAATTCACCTCGTTTATTAACCATGTGATCTTATTGGACAAATTAGCCATTAGTTTTCATAGCTAGCTTTTATGGAAAACTTGTTGTTAATGCAACTACTATTGGCCAATTTTCTGAACAAGTATAAAAAAGAAAAAAATGAGACAAAAGAGGATTTTTTTCTTGTTCTGAAAGTGGAATACAATCAGAGGACTGCAACAAGGCAGAGCAGAAAAAGAGGGCTAACTATGTTTCTATCCAAAAATCCACTGTTTTAATGCTCTTTGAAGGTAAAATTCAGTCCTCCGAGATTGGATGGCCTATAAATCTATTAAATACAATACAAATACAATATTCCAACCATAATACTAAAGGAAAAAGGAGAATGGTTAAAATTGCCTCTGTTTGAGCATTTTCTTTCCCTTCTAAAACATCTGCTTTCCAGCTCCAGAACACTGGAATTATTCCAGAGGGAAGAAAACCAGGAAGGGAGTGGAAGGGGGAGAAAAGTGAAAATCAGAACAGAATCAGCATTTGTATTTATGTTTAAGGAGGAGAATATTAAGAGCTTAAGGTGGAACTTGCTACACCATTATTTGTACTGGTTCCTCCTGTGGCACCTCGCTATCATAAAAATCTTTCTTACAAGTACTTATAGCAATTACCCTCCTAGTTAACAGAAATCTACTGATTATCAGTTTTCAAAGCTACTTGTGATGCCACAATGTATGTCCTTTTCAGTGTCCTTATTATCCCTAGCAACATTTAATGTAATCTTTTATGAATCTCTGTAATTATCTGTTTATGAAGGAAAGCATAGCAGAGGATTGGATGGAATACAGAGCCACAAGAGAAGATAATTAAGAGTGCAAGAATTTCAGTATTTGTGACTTTACCAGATGTAAGAAATACATAATGGATATAATGAAATATTTACATCCTTCGTATTTACATTTGGGTATATCTGGAATTTGTTGTTTTGGTGCTACTTTTAGAAGCATTACATTCATAATCTAAATAGAAAAGTCCTATCCTTGATTAGCCTACAAAAAAAATCCTTCTCATTAATTCAATTATGACACTAGAGGAAGAAGAGAATAGGAATTTCATATCTCAGAATAATTTAAACAATAAGTTCTCATTACCGAGCTGGAAGAAAATGTGAAGCGAAGCACATTCCTCACAGCTGTTCATGAAGTTTATTATATTTGGGTAGCAATGAAGTCTGAGCTGCTGGTCATAATCCAGCATTATGCATAATGGCTAACATTATGCAAAGGAAAGTGGTGGGATTAAACAGACTGAATGGACATCTAACTTCTACATGAATTAATTCTATATAGGCTTTTCCTATCCATGTTATTACAGTCCAAGGCACAAAGTATACATCTTCAAGTCTTGAATAATATGCGCAGTTTTGCCATTTAGCTTCAAACAAACCTTTCAAGTTTTGAAACCCATTAACTATTTTAAAGACCAATAAAAGGCTAAATTAAATCTCAGAAATTATGTGTGAATAAAAAAATATTTTTCATTATAATATTAGGGTAGCTGAAGTGGTGTTTAAGTCATACCAGATGCGACAAACTTTGGCAGGGTGTTATTTGGGGAATAGATTATTTAGACCTTCTCCACCTTCCACCCTCAATTTAGTGATTATGTAAACATCAATCTGTTGAAAAAAATAGTCTGAATGTAAAATTGCCAACATGATAACATTTCATCATGGGAATTTTTAATAAACTAGAAGAATAGCAGCAAAAATATTGGTGTTCTCTTTTTCTTTATATTCTTTGTAAGATATCCTCCTTTTTTTACAGTTTTAAAGCAAGCCCTTCCCTCCCCCACCCACAAACCACCAGATATATTGATACATACATACATACATACATACATACATGTATGTGTATATGTATGTATATGTATATGTATATGTATGTATGTTGTATTTGTGCTGATAAATAAATAAAGGGGGTTGTGACACTATATATATATATTGTGTCTGTCTGTCTGTCTGTACATATATGTACATACACATATATATCATCAAGCATTCCATCTATATTAGTAGTTAAGAGAACAGGATACAAAATGCCATTCTCTGTGTATTTTCAAGATTGGCATAAGAAAAAGAGAAACATGGCTTATTTTTTAGACTGCAATGGGAACAATAAGAGAGGATGAACATTCTAATTATAATATCTACATTATTATAGTGTAGTCATCTTAAATGAAAATACTGAATACTTTAAAGCCCTCTTAGGTTTAAGATAAAATAAAATTTGCTTGTACAAAAATCAATCTTTAAAAACAAAAGGGGAGTTCAAAAGTAAAATCAGGGAGAATTGAAGACATTGTTTTTCCTCCTGCAAATGTTGTGCACTCTGCTCCTGCACCCTTGGCTTTGGATTAAAGTCCAGAGAATGATTTAAAGAGAGAAGAATGCAGAGTTGACACAAGGCCAACCATTCTCTGCTCACAGTGTTAAGAGTCTACTCCCACTCTATCAGCTTTCCTTTATTGTTGATGGAAAGCTAGTAGTGAAGATGTTACAGTCACTATGTTTACAGAACATGTAGATCTCAGTATGTTTCAATTATTTGAACCAGAGGTGTTGTTAGATGGTCAAACTTCAAAAGCAAATGGCAAACTATGAAACTTATCTATTTTATATGCAAAGTAAAATGAACAGAAAATAATTTGCAGAATCCAGGGGTGAAATGGGTCATCCAGAAGAAGGTTCTGTTAATAAAGGTTCTGTTTATTACAGGTCTACTTAAAACCATTGAGAAACCAGATTTCCTGGCTTCTTGATCAAGCACATTCTTTTTTCCATTTGAATTATAGTGATTTTACTTAATAGTTGAACTGCAAGGCTGCAATCTTTATCACCCTTTGGGAAAATACCCAGCTAAATTCTGTAGGATATTTCAAAGAAAGTAAGGAAGCAAAAGCGTTAGGATCAGTTTGTAAACCTGAGTGTTACAGTTAACATTGAATAATTTTATATTTTGTGTGCTTTTGATCTTTATTGCCTCAACCAGAAATAGGAGTGTATTGTGCTGAGCATAGCAAACGCCTACATGGCATTTAATATATCTAGAAGTGTATCATTAAAAATAAGCCCTGGGTTTCTGCATGGAACTAATCATTTAAAGCTACCAGAAGGAAAGTATTTGAATTACAGCCAAGATTACCTCTTCTCTGAAAAAAATCAACACATATGCTAGCAGAACATGCTGCTCTTTAAAAAAAAACTTCTGTTATAGCTGAATGCAAATTACATACATGTATACACACAAACACAGTGTGCTAAAAGCTTTCCATAGTTTAAAATATCATATTACAAACCTATGGAACACTGCTTTAATTGGAAAAACTAGGAAAATCCATAGAAAATTTTCTTGGAAAACCCACTTAACCACCACCCATCTTTCTTTAATGCAAAAACAGCTATACTTGGTTTTAATTGTTTTCTCCAGTTTGTAATACAGAGGTCTTCTATTCTCTCCCTAGCTGAAGAAATCTACAAACTGTAAATCTTATTTTACATACATTATCAAAATAGTTTACCTGGCTTTCATAACATTATTAGCATTTCTTTATTTGAAACATTTTTGGGTCCTATCTGTGATAGAAATATACAGAATTATATTGGAAGCAAAAGGCTTGAACATGCCAAAATGACATTACCTTATGTACCACCATCCTTCCAGGTTCTTTTGAATGACGTCCACAGTGACTCCCTTGTCGAAACTAATTTCATCCTTTCCCTGGCTGGTATATGACTGAATTGTGACATATTTCTCTTCTAGCAAAGAGAGAGAAGACAACATCAGTTAAGATCAAACAGCTGTCTCTCATTGTGATTTCAAATTATTTTGCAGGCAATTAAAATCCTTGAGCATTGCAGAGGTGGAGTCTTGCTTGTGAGATCATAGACCTATTAATTATCATACTGTAAGCATGCCTGTGTCAGCACCATCACCACCGCCCAGCTCCTTTCATGCCAACAAATGAGACAGGGTGTCTAGAGAAGGGGCTCCCCTGCATTATACATATGGAATTGACAAAAATCAAACAAGCTGCCAAAGAAGCAAAGCAGCACTGGATGAACCTTCTCCAGCTGGCTCCATTTAGCACACACATGATTATAGTAATCCTGCATTACTGGAATCTGTACAGTGAAGCTGGAGCATGACCAAAACTCCTTCAACCCAAGAGGAACAGACTGAACTATCCTTTTCACACTCCTACAAACAATATCATGTTTCAGTACAAAGGAGCCAGGATTGGCTTTTGTTGATTAGATCGTATTCTGCTTTCCAGGTTGTCTCTACTCATAAAAGAAGAGCAAGTGCATCTTTTTAGCCTTTAAAAAAATGCTAATTCATTGTTAACCTCCTGGATTACTTACTGCAGACTATAAGCACGTGTACCATTAGGAAAACCCATCCCACACTTTAGTTAACCAGGTTCACAGGAATACTCATCCTTTTAGGCCAGCACTGGTTATATCGCGAGGAGGATTTTACATTAATAAGAAGTTGTGGGCCTGAAAGTGGACCTTCCCTACTGAAGGCACGTAGTCTCTCTCTGAAGTATAGTTCTGTTAACCTAGGTATTTCTCACAGACTTTAATAAAGGTATGATTCTGAGAATGTGTATGACTGTAAGCGAATGACCCCACTTTTAGACTTGTGTAATTCCCTTTTTATTATATTGTTGTATTTTAAAATTTCTTCTGGGGGTGTGAGTGAGTGAGTGAGTGTTTGGGTATGTAAGTGAGACTGGGATGGGAACCGGGTTCCCCCACACTGAGTGCTTCGCAGAAGTGTGGGGGGAGCTGGACCTACTCCAATCTCAGGATGACTGATTCGAAGGGCCTGTCGGAAAATGCGGGGACTATGGGGGTGGGTGGAGGGACTACGGACACGGGAGTGGGCTGGAGCATTACGGTCCTAACAGGGAGGGGCAGATATGGCAGGGACTTTAGGGCTGGCCATTACTGGGGAAGGAGTGCTTGCTACGTTACAGAGATCCCTCCTTCCAGCCCTATGAGTCCCACTCCAGGGCCAGATGGCGCGAGTAATCAGGACCCTGGTCTCAGGCTGCTGTCGCTAAATGCCAGGT